AATGTAGTGTATTGTTACAGAGGTGAGGAATGATGATGGATTTGACTGTTATACAGATGGGGAGGCTGCTGGAGAGGTGAGAGGCTCTGCCTTTGTAGACCGTGCAGTGCAGATTGGGGTTTCAGTGTTGTTTCTCACATGCGCATATAGCTACATACCTTTTTGCATGTTGGATATTTGGAAACACCCATATTAACTAGTGAGATACTTGTGGACTTTTGAATCTGTAACATTAGACCAATCGGCTGTTACCTCACAGAATGGTTCAGTGTCCAGGGTGGAGGAATCCTGTGTAAGAGAAATGGAACACAGAAGGATGGAGCAGTCCTGAGAGTCAACCTCTTTGTCCACCACTGTGCCACACTGTGTGTCTCTGGGAAATTTGTTTGTGAGAAAGTCTGTTTATGCATGCTTTTTCTCTTCTTTTCTTCTTTTTTTTTTTTCTTTAAACAAGTAGAAGGTTTTCTATTGGAAATTATATTACAGTGGCACTGCCATACCTTGCAAAGGGATGAGAAGGTATTACAGTGATTAAGGGGGCAGAAACGCATTAACAGGAGGGAAATTCTTCAAAGGACAGAGCTCAGCACAGACTGAGCATTGCCTGCACATTGTGACCACAGCTTTAATGCTGGGCTCACAGCGCTGCTTGCTCAATTAGTTGGTGAAGTAGGTGTCCACTGTGCTCTGGGAGGAGGCTGTCAGGAAGGATGCTGACAGGTTCTTTGTGTTTCAGGATAACAAACTGCCTGATGCTTCAGGCTATGGTTTTTACCCTTGAGAGGACCATGCTCTTGCTCTATTTACATAAACCTGCTGATTTGCTGAGGATTGAAAAGCAGAGAGGGCTTTCTTTGCCTTCATGTTTTGGCTGACTTCGATCCCCAGCTTAGCAAATGCTCTGTTGTTTGCCGATGACACAAAAGATTCTTGGACACAAAGCTATATTGAGGTTGTGAGAAACAGCCAGAAACGCCCCTGTTCAATATCATTGCATGGATCATGGATATAGGATTTGAAGTCACTTAATCATGTGATCCATTCCCTGGTAGAGGTTTGGTGTTAGAGAGCAAGTCTCAACCTAGACCCACGGTTTTATTTCTAGACACCCCTAGTAAAGAAAAAAAAAAAAGAGTTATTATGTATTGTTTGAATAATTGATATCGATGGTAATAGCCTCACTCATTTCTCTGGCGTATTTCAGGCTTGCTGATTTTAAGATTAAAAAAATACATATATATTTGCCCTGCAGCAGCCGTTTGCGCAATCTGGTAAATATGCATTTTCATATGGGTAATTTTGAAAATGTGCATTATGCACTTAATGGATTACTTCAGCTTTGCTCAGTTTTTTCAGAACTGCTAGCTTTGTAATAAAAAAGAAATGCTGGCCTTCTTTTTTCTTTCCTTTCCTTTCCTTTTTCCTTTCCTCTTTCTGTTCTTCTTTCCTTTTTCCTCTTTCCTTTTTCCTTTCCTAGAAAAAAGGTGTCTGTAGTACTTGTGTTGGCCATGGGAGATTTTCAGGTTGAGGATCATTGATCCAGCTGACTGAAACCAATTTTATAACTAGCTTCAGACAATCTATGCACTCGTAAATTGCATGAAAATTCTTGGCAAATCATTTTGGCTTTAAAAGATTACTGGGCATATATTCCACCTGAGATTTTAACATTGCTCTTGACTTATGTTCTCATCTTGCCCTTGCCAAATTAAACCACTTTATTTTTACGCTTACTGTAAACATCTATATAAAGTTATTTTCTTAAATAGCTACTTAATTAATGAGACAAGAGGGAAATATTTTTTATGAGTATTTGGCCTTATTTAACTCTATTTTGAAAATCACTAAGAGTAATAATAAGTAGATTTTTTTTCCCCCTGAGACTTGAATTCCAGATTGTTTCTTAGGATGTACAGTTGGATCACCCTAATTTTTATGGGAGGATAATAAAGGAAAAATGGACTCTACAGTAATTTTTTGTGCTTTTATTTTTAAAATGACTTTAAAAAGTCAGACCAAAACAATGTATTTTTTCCCATTTCTATGGCAAGTTAGACATGGTGAAAAATTTTAATTTATATTACCCCTGATCTTAGGTGGTTCTATGTTTAATGACTACTTGCATAAAATAAACTTCGGGATGCCTGGGTGGCTCAGTCAGTTAAGCGGCTGCCTTCAGCCTGGGTCATGATCCCAGGGTCCTGGGATTGAGTCCCACATCGGGCTCCCTGCTCAGCAGGTAGCCTGCTTCTCCCTCTCTCTCCCTCTGCTTGTGCTCTCTCTGTCAAATAAATAAAATTTAAAAAAAAAAAAAAAACTTCTAAATTTTGTCATTTAATTATGAAGTGAGCTTATCTTTTTCATGTATAAGTTTCCAAATACTGGTAGAGATCACTTGATACAGTGATCTGTTTTACAGATTATTAGTCATGTGCATTGGAAATCTCACATATGAATTAGGATCAGTTTGGTTTGACATAGTAGATTTTTAAACAAAAAGAGGTAACTTTTTATCTATTAACAAGGCATTAATAAGTAAATGTGGTAATTCCATCTGTCAGGTTTAAGGTTCTTTTTCACACCGCCTTATTCCTCGCGGCAGCATTCCTCGGGCCAACAGGTGGGAGTCCGCCTCCAAGACTGCCAAGAAGCGTTTAGGCACAAGGATACCAGGGGTCGTCCTCTACATCCCAATATAGTCCTTCCCTCCCTTCTCTGAGAGTGTTACATCCAGGTATATTTATAGATAATTATTTTCCTGAATGTAACTTTGCAATGAGAAATGAAAGAATATAGATTCTCCTTTTCTGGAAAGCTTTTTTGTATACAAGTTAGTAGCTACCTTAAGCCTCAGAGTTAGAATGTTTATAGTTAAAATGATTCTGTATACATTATACTGAAAAGTATACATAAAGCTTTTTAAAGAAAGGAGATGTTGCCATTTCTTTACAGAGGAACCATGAGAATATATTGGCCCTGGAGCTAACTCATTATAAAGTGGATGCCGGTGGAATGAAGGAGTTAAGAGGGTTTGGCATGGATAAGGTAGTGGAATTTTGGATACTATAGCCCAGTGGATGTTGAGATGTCGTGCAGGACCAGACCATTGTATGCAGCACATTTTGGTCCCATGAACTTTAAGGAAATAGAAGTCATTAGTTGGGAAGTGACCCGTTTGTGTTGAACTCAGTGAGTATATAGCTCAGTATGACAGTGTTATGAGATTTAGAAGAGAAGGCTGTAGGAGGTGATAGGAAGAAGAGGGTCTATAGACTGATTTGTGTTCAGGTTGAGTGAGACAGGTAAATAATTGATATCTAGAGATTTGAAATACTGGTATTCGGTACATCAGGGATTGGGGCACAGAAATTAAGAACCTTGGGTTCCAAAATTGTGCAAGTTGGAACTGCAGTTTTTTATCTAGGGAATGTTTTTAGTTGAATACCAAATTAGGGATTAGGAAGACAAATACCTACCGAAGTAGGAAGAGTTCTCTTGTTCTTTAAGATGATTGGCATGTTAAATGGATGTTGCCTGAATGTTAAGCAGAGTTATTTAGCCTCCTGGACCCTGGAACAAAATAGAAAGTTCAGTCAACAGTTTATTCCTGAGCTACCCTTGTACATGGATTCAGGGATCGAATCTTTGTTGAGTCTCCATCTGAGTAGAGAAATCAGTTGGGACATTCTGGATGCCTGGGTGATTGGCATTCAGATTTCTTCTTTTTCTGGAATCACTCTGGGCTACAAAAATCCTGATGTCTTTCAGAAGGTTTCTTGGAAGGAAGTGTCCTTGGTGAGGGTTTTCTTCATGATCCACCTCTTAGTGGGTCAGCTAGTGCTTGTGGTGGTACTGGACTGTCCATGGGATGGATGGCTCCATATTTCTGCTCCTTTTCTTTTTCTTGGCTCTGCATGTGTAACAGGCAGTAGAGGAATCAGCTTGTATTCTTAAGCATCTGAGTTATTCTAAGATACACTCATTATGAAGGGTCATGAGAAGGGATAAAACAAATGGCATTTTGAATGTGGGTATTACGGTTATTATCCCTAGAAAATTTGATTGACTGCACATGCCTTTAGTTCTCAGTAAATAATACATAGAGGATCCTATCTTAAGCTTTATGATGATCTTGGGTTGCCCTGTGTTGAGTGTTAAAGTCCCTTTATAGCCACTGCTTCCCTTAAAATCATTGCTTCTTAAAAAAAAAAAGAAAGAAAGAGAAAATTATCTTAACCTGCCATTTAAAAGAGCAGGCCTTTAGACTCCAGCTGTTGAGAGCATCAGAAATAATTACCCAACCATTGCCATGTCAAATATAATTTAAGAAAGCGCCCTTATTCCCTTGAGGAAAGTGTGGTTTGGTTTACTGCATCCCATCTCCAATTGGGTGCCTTGGTTTTCTTTATAATTAGAAAATAAAATGTGTTTAGGTTGAAATTTAGTAGGAAGTTATCCACAACCGGTTAGATTTCTTTCTGTTTCTTGGTTTAGGTGAAAAGGTCATTGTAATGGTGTGTTCAAGCCAGTCATCTTTACATCTTTCATTTATTTCCTCACAAATTATTTACTGAAAATAAAGAAGCACTTGGCAAAGCCATTTCTCTTTGTGAAGACATGGTAGCATCTCTCTAAATAAGACATTCAAAATTTTGTCTTGTGTAGCTGTGATCAAATAATTCCCTTGATTGAAGTTTCTTCGTCAAAATATGGTTAATCCTATGGGATTTCTTTCTTCCCCTTCTTCAAGTACCCTGGAAACAATAATTAAGGCTTTATCAGGTTCTTTAAATTACCAGAAAAGTGGTCAATAAGAACCCCAAGGACTGTTTTCCTCTAGCTTAAAATTATTTGTAATTTACAATTTATCTCTGAAAAATTTTTTTCTATGTAAGATATATGCTTTGTCATGTGTTTATTTATGCAGTGGCTTTATGGGCCCTGTCTTTGTTCCCTTAATGGTAAATACCATTGTTTTAATTTTTTTTTTTCTTTTAAAGACTGTGTGTATATCGAGAGTCGGAGGCCAAACACGCCATATTTCATCTGTAGCATTCAAGACTTCAAACTGGTAAGCATTTTTTAATGTGCTGTTGATTCTCCTCTGTGCCTTCTCTTTTTCCAGTTCCATTGGCTGTCTGTCTCGATTGCTTCTTCCTGGCTGTGGACTTGGTAACCAGCCCACCTCTGAGTGCTCACTGCCTGGCAGCTGCAGCACACGTGTAAGGCAGTTACCAGTTTTATCCTTTTGGTTTTATAACACTTAACAAAGCTTGTACTGTGAACAGTATTCCCAAAGGTTTCATTTCTCTAGTAGCTGTTTTGACGATAATTTCAGAGATTTTCTTGAGTTTCTGAAGTAGTTTCTTTCTTCTCAGCCATTGTGAAGAGCCTAAAGTAAAGTAAATTTGGGAATTGGTGGTGAGTTGGAAAAAAAGAATATAAATGCGCCAGAGACTAGTTTTGGGTGGCAACTATCATTTCCTTAGAGATTTTAGTGAGTTTAGAGTGTATCTTGGGGTCACCCGGTGATGGAGGTTGGGGGAAGGAACTCTGGGTTGGGGATGGCATGGCTGCAGTACTTTCTCATTACAAACCTTCTCCAAGTTTAGAGGTGTTGATATTGCCCATTAGGCAATCTCTGGGCTTTAGACCGGTGGTGCCCACACTTGGGGCTTTGGATCCCTGGGTATCCGTAGAGATTTTACAAAGGTCTGCAAATAACCATTCCCAGCTCAAAATATGCCTCACGTATGTTTGTACAACGACTTCTCAAATATATTAATATGCTGGTGTGATTTAAAAAAATTCACTTAATAGTTAATGACAATACACAGTTAAGAATCAGTTTATTACGTATTTTCCTCAAACAACTGATATGTGAAATACAGAGTGTTGCCATTGGGGAATCTTTTGAAACATTAAAAAGGGATCCTTGTACTTGAAGGTTGTGAACCACTGTCTCCCTTTTTAGGTATAGAGAAATCCCAATTCTTTAGCTCTGTAGACGTATGTATCAGTATCTGTGAATGCTCTTATCTCCAAAACCTTTGTAACTTGACAATATTTGTGTTCTCACATTCCGTATGTGATACTTCAGTCTAAAAAAAGGTAATGTAATATGGAGAGATCTTTAACTCTGCGTCTCTTTTCTTTCTTTTTATCATTTTTGATGACTCCAAATACCCAATTAGTTTATTCTGACTTAGCTAGTTAAAAAAATTGCATGCCATCTTTTTTTCTTATTAAAGTTTTGTTGCATAAGTAACACATGCTTACTGTTTTAAAAGAAAGTCAAATGTGCCATTTACTTCTAAGATTTATTTATTCTTGGTATGCTGCTTTTAAGTTCCCTGCTTGTTTTACAAGGAGGGCTTGCAGTTTAAATTTGTAAATCAAATGCTTTCTATTTAGATTTTATGTCAGTATGAAGTTTTGCCATTTTTAGAGGTCTTTGCTATTTATTATATATTTCCTTCCAAAGATTTTTTTTTGCAGATGCTGCACTGACATCTGAAAATCTGGGCAGTGGTCTTGTTTCCTGAGAATTTTCTTTTGCCTGTGGCCTCTGCTACTGCTCTGTCCCTGCTCATCCTCTCTGTGTGTGATTTTTTTTTTTTTTAAACCAAACATAATACCAGTGCACCATGGAAAAGATATAGCTGTGAAATAAAAATTGCAAAGGTTTTTTTTTTTTTTAACCTATTAGATTCAGACCCCTTTTTGTACAATTTTAGCACATTAGCAGTTGCCTTCATGTCTGAACAGCATCTCTTATGAAATGCTGATTACAATGTTATAGTTGCTGTTTGGGGCAGAGGTTCCTGCTGAGTTACAGTAATTGCTCAGGGTATTAACAGCAATAAAAGCTGAAGCTTCTGTTGTCAGTATTGGTCTGGCACAACACATTAAATCTGTCTGCAGAAACAGTGTGGGAAGTGGGCACGGTATGTAAGTTGCACACTGCTTTGTCTCATGTTTTTGTCTGAGCTCTGTATTCAGCACATGCTCGTAGTTGTTGTATAAGAATAACCGAGATGGTGAAATATTTACTCCTAGAAGGAATGTAGTTGTTGTCTGGATATCCACTTTCTTCTTTCCTTGGTTTGCAGTTCTACTTATGAAAAGATAACTTAATAGATGAAAATAATCATAGCTTTTTTGTTCCTTCAGCTTACCCAGGCTATAAGGGGAAAAGATGAACAGAAGGAAATATGCTTTGTTTCTCTTCAAGATTTTAAAAAGAAGAAATTGGAGTTGGTTTTGCCCACAGCAAATACCATGCATGGCAAGTGGAGCAGTGGAAAACAAAAACCCAGTAGCCTTTAAATATTGTTGATTAATTATATATTTTATCTTTTGAAGCTTTCTTGGTTTGGGGTTGTAACTGAGAGATGTGTTCCTTTGTTTATACTGTGAATTAGAATGACCCCTTACCATGGTGAGTTTTTGAATATATGGTATATTTGGGACTGTAAAAAGAACTGGGCAAATGCCCAGTTTGGTACATATTACGTAAGATTACAGTGTTAGACACAGTGGAAGTTAAGGAATTGAGAAGCAGGCATAATGAATCATCTATGACCAGTAACCCAAACCACCATAATGCCAATTTGTTGAACTGAGGACCCTGGGTAACATTTCAGGAACTAGTTCTGTGAGAGATAAGCAGAGTCTTCGGATTTTACGTGGGGACCTGGGTTGCCTTCTAGGCTCTGCTACTATGTCCCATAGAGTCGGAGTCCATGATATGGAACATAGTTGTCTCTGTGTGCAGGATTATATTAAACCTGGCAAACTGTTAAACAGTGTCCCCTTTCACTCTCAAAGGTATCCTTGTTTTGGATGATATTTATATGGTCATCTTGCCTATGGGGATAAGATCCATGGCTTCTGCTTTGTTAACATTTAACCATCAAAATGCGTAAGTCACTACTACTGTACATTGGTAGATCTGTTTAGAGCCCGCATTTCACAGGGATAGGTGGAAGCTATGATGGCACAAAGTAATTGAGTTCCTAGCAGAACTGAGGCTACTTTTGAAAGTAGCATTTTCACGGGAAGCAAATTATGTGTTCTGTTAGGAAGCTTTCCTCCTCTTAGGGAGTGTTAATTTGATTGGGCTTATTTACAGACTAGGAGACCAAACTGGATTTGTTTGACTACAATGATAGAAGTATCTATGGAACAAGTAGTCAAAGCAGGGTCTCAAGAGACAGGAGAGGTAAGGTGGAATTATGGATAGTGTATGCTTAGAGGTAGGAATAGGGAGGGATCATCAATTAAATAAGTCAGCTTTGCACCTTCGGCTTCTGAACTAAATAATAAGGCAGCTAGCAAAATCTTTAGCTCTTTGAAAGAGTAGTAATATGGAATGGCAATCTATGATGTTTGTGGCCTTGCTTGAAAAGATAGTTGAGAGACTGAAGCAGTTAGCTGAGGGCGCAAAGCCGGAAGGATGAATCAAGAGTCGCCTCAATGCAGAGAGGGTTGGCAAGCGTAAACAGGTCACAGGCAAGCTGATGTGATAGGGCAGGGGAAGCCAGGAAGAGCAGAGATCTGTGCAGAGAGCAGTAGATGGCCAGCAGGAACGAGGGCATGCCTTCTCCCTGAACTCTGGCGAAGCCCGCTGTGCTAATGCTTCTTCCCTCCGGATTCTTGGATTGTCCTTGTTTCTGCTCAGTAAAGCCCTCTTCTCTTGGGCCAGCTTGAGTGGATCTCCATGATTAAATGAAAGAGCCTGGTATAACATCTTCAACCCTTTCTTCTGTTGCACTCCCTTAGCTTTCCTAGGTCAGTGTGTGACTTAGTTTGCTTTCAGAGTTCTGTTCCTGAGTGAGTCCGTGTCACTGAGGAGCATTATATTCCCGAGTGCAGGGAGGAATGTTTTTGGTGGTAACTAGCGCCTTTGATAGGCATTTAACGAAAGCCTACTCTGTGTGCTTTGTTGGGCGCAGCACCTTGAAAGAGCCTGAAGTCTGCAGGATAAAGTTCTTCCCTCCGTGACCTTAGTTTCTAATTGGACAGACATTTGTGGCATTACTGGATGTCAGTCCTCTTTGGAGAACACTCTGAATAGGATTAATGTGAAGGAAGCCATTCACCTTTTGTGCACAAAGAAAGATTTCTTTCTTGCTTTTACTATAAAAATCAATAAAATTCCATTTTTATAGACATCTAGGCCTTCAGCATAATAGAGTGAATTTGCTCTCTAGAAATAATCGTAAATTCCGAAAGTGCTTCACAAGATTGTTTAGATTAGTGATTTTTCCGGCAGTAGAACACCGAGGAGTACCTTTTCTGGCTCTTGGTAGTACTTCATATCTACTTCTTCACTCACAGATAAGTAATTGAAGCCATTCCTTTGAATATTCTGCATGGGCATTCTGTGTGGATTCCTAATGAGTTCCTATCATTCATACAAGAGAAAAAAAATGAGATTTTGGTTTCCTAGAGTTATATAGTTATTGATTCTTTAACTGTTGTATGAAATGAATTTCCATGTAGGATATATAATTATTACAAATACTGTTTTGAGCAAATACCATTGATTCATCTTGGCTCCTGTTTGGTTTATTAACCGTGGAAATGTTGTTGTTAAAATTAAACCTGGTCTTAGAGATTCCCTGAAGTTGGGGATGTATCATTAGGGATATTATGGTATTTTTAGTCAACTGTTTAGAGCTCAATGAGTTGTTATGACTCTGTGTGGATGACTGTGCTTTTGTATCATTTATGTCCCTGACAGCACACATTTTAATTGTGAATGTGGGGTAGCTGAGGCTGCATACCGCTAGTTACCTTGGCAAAGGCACGTCTCCAGTACTGCTGTGAACGTGGGGGCCATGTTATTCAAGATTTAACACCATCTCTCTCTTGGTTTCATTGCCAAATGTGAGCAGCAAGGGGAGGAACATTTGGAATTTCTGATTCCTAGGCTGCATCTGTAACTCTACCCCAAAAGTTGATTGCCACAGTACAACAGAGAGGGGCTGCAGAGAAATTAGCTTTGGTGCAGCTTCCTACACACAATTGATGTTGTCCTCTCTCCACCAAATCATGTTTCTCAGAAGTAGATTAAAAACAAGCTGCTTTTCCGTCTTTAAAATGAAAACTTACTGAGGATAAGTAATTTTATCTTTTCAATTTTTGTTAGAGACCTTTACATAGATAATGCTGAGGATATGGGATAGTTTGTTAATATGCACTCTGTGCACACTTCTGTGTGTACCTACAATGAGTTAATTATCAGGTATGCATCACGTGCCACAGTTATTTAATCCCACCTTGGCTGCTGTGACCACTCAGCACAGAATGTATGGTGTATAGACATTCAGGAAGTGGGCATTCATTTTAATGTTAGGTAAATCTTGTATTGAAAACTTTTCTAGGGGTGGGACAGGGGTCTGCATTAGTGTGAATATGGCTAATTCAGAATTTGAGGTGATACTCGGGGACTGAGAGGAGGGATGGTAGAGTTCATGTGTTGGGAGCTTGACTTTGACATCAGTTGGTCTGTTCTTCAGTTGCTATCTTTTACTACCTTGGGTAAGATGCTTAACCCTCCTAACCTTGTTTTATTTACCTATGAGGTTGGGGTATAAATAAAGCACCTACCTTGCAGGTAGGAGCTTTTTAGATGAAAAGATCAAGCCCACAGAGTGGATGCGTAGTGCCTGGGCCATGGAATGACATGGTAGTGATGTTGATGTTTCATTGGTGCTCTGGGTCTAAGCTTTTGTAGGGGCAGACACCATGCCTGTGTTATTCACTGATGTATACTGTGTGCTTATTAGGTCATTGCCTGGCCCATATAAGATCCACAGTAAGTGTTTATGGAATATTGAATGAAATAACATTTCAGTGGAAAAAATTCACAGCATAAAGTTTTAGAAGAACTTTAGTAGTAATTTGATACGATGCCTTAACTACAAATTAACCTTCTGTTTATTAAACAAACCAAAAAGACCTGTTTCTTTACCTTTAGTTTACAATGTGTAGTGTTTTGGTTAGCCTGCAGTGTGTAGTATTTTATATATTTAAATAATAATCTGTTCTTAAAATACGTTAAAACTCAGTTTCTTATTTTCTTCAGAAAATTTACGTGAGTGTAGCTAAAGTCATAACATTTTTTAGGCATTATAATCTATTTTGAATTTTCGATATTACTGACTTCTGGCAAAAGTAATGAGGGCTTAGTCTATAGGTAAACATTCCCGAGAAGTCCAGTGGATAGGAAAAATGCCTTACGGTGTGATGGTTCATTTTTGTGTAAAAAGTGGCTGTTTTTCTCTTCTTGATAGTCCCTCAAGTTAGGCCTGCAGAACTGAACATTTCTTTCCATACTTCCTTTTTCTCCTTTTAGTTCATTTCCTAGGAAAAGGTCAGTACCACTCACACACAGCTTTGCGACTTGGAGTGTAGTGTTGGATAATGAAGTGAGACCCATGAAGTTCATTATCAACTGTTTTTGTTTGTGGAGTGAGGAATTAAGTATTACTTAGAGACATAATGGAACGTACAGCTGAAATAATTCTTCCCAAGGCGTTTTTCCTTTCCGCTAGTTTAGTTGTTCTCACCTGTTAGGAGTCAGTGGGTCAGTGTGATACCACTCTTCTTATATGGTGATTTCTAAGTCAAGAAAAGGTGCATGTTCTTGATTTGGTGCTTCTGGAGGCCACACCTTTTTTTTCTCCCTTTGTTTCAAGTAAAGGCCATGGTTGCTTAGTTCTTATCTATAAGCATTATAATAAACTATAATGGGGTATTGGACTTACTTCATGCTGTTTGTTTGGAGTAAGCCACCAATAATAAATATATGCACTGAGACGAAATGTCCTTTTCGCATGTAAATTTGAAGTTTATAATTTCTTTTTTTAATCCTTTAAGAAGCAAGAGGGAGATGAAATCCTTAGCCCCAAGTTTAATGGACAAAATGTTGTTAGATATTCCTCCTGCCAGTTATGGGGCAATCATGTTTAAAGTTATTTTGAACCACCATCACCTTTTTGCATGATATAAATGGAGGGGATGGTATTCACGTAAGTGAAAATCACAGTGAGGCTTTGGGAACAAATAATCTCATAGCATCTTATTGGCCCCATTTACTCAGCTTCTCAGCAGGCTGTTTTCACATGAGTTATAGTCATTATAGGCCACGTGGGATTTAAAGTTTTAATGGTTCACAATTATTGTGAAGTTGGGTAATTCGCGTTCTCCTGGTCTATTTGGATTTTAGAACTAAGAAATCACTGAAAGAGTTTTGTTTAATTATACTGTTCTATAAAATATGTATCTGAAACGTTTAATAAACCTGTTCTATGTGAAATATTTTCAATGTGGAAAACTAGGCACTCTCATCTTTTCTAAAAAAGGAGCCTAAGAAAGTTTGAGACAATTTGGTATTTGCAGAGAGCTGCTATGCAAGAATATTGGTAAAGTCTTATTATTCAAACTTGATTCCTTAGAACTGGACATTTGTAATTTGTATATGTATGTGGGTGTTTGTGTTTAAGAATGGACTCAAAATAGTCCAAGTAAAACCCATTAGAAGGATTGAAAGAAAATCAGGGAAACAGATAACTGCCCATGTTTTCTGATTGATAAAGAAGAACAGTGATATGCTTTAAAATGTATTTTTAATACTTAAAATGTTTTAATAATTATTTGAACTTTTGCATATTTAAAACAATGCCAAGGTGATTTGAAATGCCTTACTAAGTGTCTTCTTGATTTAAAACTCTTGATCTGAATGAATAAGGATTTGAGTGATCTGATTAATGAATTCCTAGTGCAAAAAATTAACCAGCAATTCATTTTTATTGGATGATTGTGGTAAAAAATATTAAGTATATTGTACATTCTAGTGCACAGTTGAATCTTTGATTTGGAATCTGCAGCACTGGTATGGGGAGGAGGGGGTGTGCGGTGGTGAAGGTTATGCTGCGAACAACACTTGGTGTCATCATGTGTTGTCCCTGAGGCAGTGGGAGTCAGCGACTGAGCGCACAGGAAGTGTCCTGTGTGGCACCCAGCATACACTCTATAGAGGGCGATCTGTACCGAAAGGAAAGAAAACCATCGTGAAGACGACATTCCCAGTATTGGCTTATTTTCTTGGGATTCATGTTTTTGTTTGTTTTAAAAGAGACATAGAAAAATAAGTAATTAATGGACGATATGAAAATCTTGGATCACAGGAGGTTGTTAGTGATTCAAAAGAAACTAAGTGTAATAAGGCTCCTGAACAATGGTTTAAGAGTTTGCTTATTTGTCATTTCTAAACACCTTTAAGAACAGAGATTCTTATATAAGTATCTGGATTTTATGGAGTTTTTAGTCCATTTAAAGCCACACAATATTGAATCGGTTAGTTTTTTGGAAGTGTTATGTACTCTAGAATATTTGAAAGGGAACACACTCAAACTGTTATTTGAGGTATCTTTTTGATACTTACAAGGACGGTGCTGGCTTTCAGAAGTTGCTCTGTAATCTGCTGCTGCTTTTAAATGTTTTCAAAGTTTAAAAGAAAAATAAAATAGACGTGTGATACATACCAGAACTGGTTTTACCCCTAAAAGAAATAATGCCTTTCTTGAGCTTTATGTTTTGTACCTGTTCACGTGGGCATTGTGAGAAAATTAAAGCTCATTTGAATGGTGTCTTTTTTCCCTCTGGTATTAAGCCTTTGTCTTTTACCTTGTCTTCACCTTTATAAAATTAAACTAGGACTTGGAGAAAATGATAGGGTCTTTCTTTGACCCCCTAATGTCTTGAATATTTCCTTATTAAGTATCTGTCTTATGATCCTAGCATCTTGCATTGGAAACTCTTCTGAAAGCTCAGTTTGTCCACTTGTGGTTCATTTTATAGTTGTGTTTATCTGATACCATTGCTTTTTTGTTTTTATTCTAAGCAAAGCATGCCATTGTCACTGTGCTTTGGCACTGTGTCGCATCTTAACTTGGTTATTTTGGGGGCACACACCATACAGCTTTACAACAGGACCCAGATTCCACTGTTGAGCCAGAAGGGTCATAGGCTTGTTCTTGCTGAAATAAGGAAACAGCTCTGATTGACGCAGAAAGGCTAACTTCAGCAGTAGAACAAATTCTCTGAAAGGCCATCTGCTAAAGGGTGGTGCAGATTCCTGCTTGTGTGCTGCGTGCCCCTAGTAACCAGGGCCGGAGGGGACGTTGGGCATGCTAACTGAAAGCTCTTTTCTTTTTTAGGTCCACAACTCCCAGGCCTGCTGCAGATCTCCAACTCCTGCTTTGTGTGACCCCCCAGCATGCTCTCTGCCGGTGGCATCACAGCCACCACAACATCTTTCTGAAGCCGGGAGAGGGCCTGTAGGGGTAAGGAGAATCCCGTTTTTAAAAGCTATCAATATTTTATATCCCATAGGGTATAAAATAGGAATATTACCTCCCTCCCCAGAGCCCCTTTAAAAATGTGCTGTATTGTATGTGTTTTTAAAGGAGTAACAAGTACATGCACAGAGGAAGCAAAATACGGGACTTGCCTTACCCCTCTAGGACAGTTCCAGAAGTCAGCGGGGTTTGGTGGTGTGGGGCATTTGGGTGCCAGCAGAGAGCATGCTGGGCCGCTGCAAGGAGCAGGAGCTGGCAATCAGCAGCGAGTATGGATGTTGGCAACTGAAATGGGGAAAAAGGGGGTAAGTTGGAGTCCACGTGTGGAATGTGCACTTCCCCAGCATCATTGGGACTCACGGCCCACGAATCTAAACTATTTTGGATGCTGTCCTCTCAGGTGACATTTTACAGAATATTGCTCAGGAGTAGCCAGGCTTTTCTGCAATGCCAGATACAGAATTAAACACTTCAAAGTCTTGAGTTAGGGTTTAGATCTGGTGCTCTCAGCTGTGCCCTGGTAATGTCTCTGGTACGTGGTGCTAATGATGTGTGTGAGGTGCAGCAGGATGAAGTGTCTGTGGTGCTTTATCCCTAGAACACAGGGCCTGGTGTTAGTGATCCATGTGGGTTATTTGTGTGTGATATATCTCACCTTTTATGAAAGTTGTATATACACCTGTCTTCCTTTTTTTCCCCCTTTATAGGGATTTAACTATAAGATTTTCTGAAAGACAGGTGTTGTTCTGATTGACTGCTGTTAATCGTGAAAGAAGTGGAAGACCTTTCTCTTGTATGTAATCTGACTGTGGGGTTCAAGTGCACACTCAATTAGGAAATAACACCAGGGAATAGCCATCACGTATGCACGTGCATAATACAAGATACTGGCAGTGTATAATGAATTGTTCAACTGCAGTGTAGAAAAATAGTATCTTGAAACTAGGAGAAGAGAGTGCTTCCCATGGGCTCTAGCACTTGGGAAAGTTCTGTGAAGGCAGGCAGGTTTTGAGGAGCTGTGTTTGTTTTTGATACATCAGTAACACGTGGACAGGGAGACTGGAAGAGCCTTCTAGGTGTACATGTCAGCCTGTTTCTGTAAGCCACGTAGGCTGTGGGCCTGGTGAAGCTGGGAGTTGAGAGAAGATGACTGCAGGACATCCATGGAAGAGCACAGGTTAGTGGGTTGTGGGAGCAGAGCTGGGATATAATGTGGGCCCAGATCATAGAGCGTTGTAAAGGTGAGACAAAGGGAGATTTTATGTGATAGGCAGAAGAGAAGCCTTCGTAGGCTTTTTTATTCCAAGAAGATTGCTTGGGTAGCAGTGTGGAGTTCGGGCAGACTGTGGAAGCTCCAGTTATGTGGTGAGGGCTGTCACCCATGCGTGAAGTGAAGAGGACCGGGACAGTGGAGATACAGGATATTAATAATCATAAAACTAGGAATAATATATCATCACAACAATAATTTCATGTTCAAATAGTTGCTGGTGTAATTTATCAAGAATTAGACCAGAAAAAAGGTTCACAAAATCCTTGGAATTTTTGATATAATAACCATTCACAATGGAAGATAAAACCCAGTGTAGTGGATAAAAGTCTAATTTTAATCCCTGGAGAGATACACTGACATCATAAGGGACAAATTAGCAGAGTCCCAGCTTGACTACCTACTTTAAAAACTTCAGCCTTTACCAGTTATCATCTTGCTTCCATATGTATCTAAGAAATGATTTTGTCTTTCAGGCTGATATTTTCTCACTTTATTCTCCATTTAGTGTGGATGTCATTGTTAGACTGTTTCATTTACCACAATACTCACTAATCAGGATTTGTTGAATGGATTTAAAATTTTGCTCATCATAACATTGATTTTTATTTTTTATTTATTTATTTTTTTAAAAGATTTTATTTATTTATTTGAGACAGAGAGAATGAGATACAGAGAGCATGAGAGGGAGGAGGGTCAGAGGGAGAAGCAGACTCCCTGCTGAGCAGGGAGCCCGATGCGGGACTTGATCCAGGGACTCCAGGATCATGACCTGAGCCGAAGGCAGTCGCTTAACCAACTGAGCCACCCAGGCGCCCCATATAACATTGATTTTTAGTAAACTTTTTGTACTAGCACTAGTGATGACCAGCATTTATTTATTTATTTATTTATTTATAGCAGTGAAAGTATTGTGTTCAGTGGGGATTTAAATAAGTTCATGATTGGTGGCGTACTCAGATACCATCGTATGTAGGTATGAGAAGATTCTGTAATAAGATAATAAATCTTCTTTGAGTCAAGATGATGCTGCATAAAACAAACTGTATTGATTGTTCTTTAACAACGCTTCATGCTGCCAAAGTCATTTGAGCTGGATCTGAATCAGATCCAGTTGGCAAAGCTACCCCCCATGTGTGGAGCTCTCATAAATTCTGCAGGCACACAGATCTAATACAGTGCAATGAGAGAGCTGCTGGGAGAAAAAAATTGATTACAGGGTTGCAGACAATATCATTAACAGTTCTTGCCATGATACACCAGATGTCTTCCTAATAGACTATTTTTGTTAATTTAGATTTTAAAGGGTAGTGCTAACTGCATCATAATTGAACTTTCTTTGTATATTCAGGTATATGTGATCTGTGTTCCTACACTAATGATGACATCAACTCATAGATTTAATTTTATAAGTTTTTAACTTATCTGTTCATATTTAAAGTATTTGTGCTTAGAAAGGCAGCCTTTTTACTTATTATGGAGAATCTGTTAGCTTGGATTTTTTTTTTTTAAAGCAAGAAATGCTATGTTTGCTGGCAATTCAGGGGTAGCGAGGGATGTGAGATGGCAAAGAAAACATTTCCAAGATTCTTCCTGGACTGGGCAGAGATTCCCCTCCGTGCCCCTGCGTGCCCCCAGGTGCTCCCAGTAGTGGATGGTTTCAGTGGCAAGGACAGAGACTCTATCCAAAGCAGAAAGGTACAACTATTTAAAGGAGACTTAAAATGCATATTTATTTTCATTGTCATGGATGCGGCTCTGCAGGCTGGAATTCTTGTTGGGGGCACCTAACCCCTTCCTTACTAGGAGATCAAGGGTTAGACTAATTCGTTTAAATATTTTTATTTTGTAGTCTTATCTTTTTGCATGTTTAAGACCTCTGTTGAATGACTAACACAGTATATAAATAAGACAGGACTGTAATAGTGGGTTGAACTATTTTATTTCCATCATTTTTTTTGAACTACTAGTTTTGTTTTTGGTGTATTATTCTTTAGAGAACATGTTTTTCTTATGATGCGTTCCTTTGTAACGGGACACGTTAAAACTAAAACACTTAGTTTTCTCACTTATAAAATGGGCATAGCACTACTACCTACCTTAAGGGTTGTTGCAAAGCATAATGAAATAATTCACTGAATTGCTTAGCATGGCATTAAGCATATAATAAGCATTCATTAAGCATTATCTGTTGTCACATAGTTTTTCATTATACAAATTCAGGTTTTAAATAATTATTAGTGTTCTAGACATTCTTGATCTGAGGTCCATAGGCCCCAAGGACTCTTGAGTTTAACAGGGTCAATGAACTTCCTGAAATTGCTTGTCGAGTCTTATATGTATGTGAATTTTTCTGGAGAGAGTATTCGTTTCAACCATGGATGCTAATCAGTAGATTCCTAAAATATTGAAAAAAATTTTAAATTAAGATTAAGAACTGTGGCTCTATAAAGTTTCTGCAGTGCGTCTAAAACCTCAGATCAACTAGCTGTTTATTAAGGAAATAAACTAACATTGAGCATTTACTTTGTGCCCAGGCACTGTGCTACTCTTTTCACATAGTTTAATTTGTGATATTTATTTTGTTTTACAAATGAGAAAATTTGAGGTTTACAGTTGTATAAAATCTTGCCTTGAGTCAATGTCAGGACTGAGGTTTAACTCAGGAACTCACCCTGGCCTTGTGAAGTCTCTCCACTGCTCTCATGGCTGACTTCTGTATTTCCTGGATGGTCCCTGCAGCGATGCCCACCTTTGCCTCCACTTTACTTGAAAAGCTCCTGAGCTGGCATGATGCTCACTTGCTTGGTAGAGCAGATGGGTTCTGCCACTGAGAGTGTCCCAGGCTGGCCCTCACCCTGAATGAATGGACAGTGGTGGTTAACAGTATGGTGTGAGAACCCTTCTTAGTACCAGTTCATTTTGTTTTCCCGTTAGCTCTTGTGGTGGTCCTATTTTTAGTATCCTTTTGTTTAAAAAATGCATCGTTAACAAACAGCTGCTCTTTGAGTTCCCTTTTTATTTATCTTAATGACATCTACATACATTTGAAAAATAATTCCTGTAGTCTGTTGTATTTGTTAATCTGTGTGTGTTTGTTTCAGGTAAAACTTCATGCATGTAAGAAATTGGACTTTGCATTTCCCTTGGAGTAAATCCACTCCACCGATCTACACAAGCCTGCTCCACTAACACAGAGCAGGAAGCTAGGGCCCAGTGGCTTTCCCCAGATCCCTGCTTCATGAGGGGCTGCTTAGGCCAGAATCTGGGTCTCCTGTGTATCTGGTCAGTGAGTGCTCTTTCCACTGCTCCTTGCTACCTTCCTTGACCCATAAAGGATGTCTTGTAGCTGGCTTATGCCATACATCATTTACTTCTTTAAAAGCTAAGGGCGCTTTGCTTAATATCTAGTTTAAACTTTTGTGACTATAACTCATACCAGTGTTAAAGTAGTATTTCTTGCCTGTGTAAGGGATTTATCATTTTCAAGAATCATTTCTAACAGTGGTATTTTTCATACTTGGGGCTTCAGTACTATTTAATAATTAAAAATGAATATTTATTATAAAATGCTGTTTTAAATGCTGATTATGTTTCTTATGTAGTTGTTCCGTATAAAGAACTCTAATCTGGTTGCTTGTGTAGATATGCAGGAGTTGCTGAGGATATCCTGCTTTTTCAGTATTTCCTTGGCTTCCCCAGTTGACATTAAGAA